GTGTGGGTAAAATTTGGAATGGAGGGTACAAGGGGAAGACAGTGGCTGCCAGTTGTACCCTCCAATCCGAGGTGGAGATGGGTGCTACAGTTCACGCCACTGAGCTCTCCCTTAATTTGCCCTCTCAAGAAGAGAGACAGTGTGTACCACGGGGCTGCTGGAGGACTTGTAGACAATGGACAAGACAGGAAATGCTCTCTCTAGGTGGAGACTGGGATAAAGACAGAGGAAGGTGGTTGGTTGTGGGATAATGGGGAGGGTCTGGCCACTTATCCGTCTTTGTTCTGAAGCTTTGTCGCAGACGAGTGGAACTGTCTCAGTTGTATAACAGACAGAAGCCCCTGTGATCCACAGGTGCACCCCTCTTCCTCATCGCGAGGCCAGCCCAGCAGAGACAGTGAAGGGCTTATTTCCTTTCCCTTTCTCTCACAGGGGGCTTGGTCTCCGTGCAAACCTCCCTTGCCTTTCTGCTATTGTCTTGGTTTTGCATTCTGAGAGTGCAGATTCTGACACACACAGTGAGCATCTCAGCTTGTGCGTTTCTGTCACTCAGGCAGACAGATCCCTTCTTTTTTTTTTTTTTTTTTTTTTTTTTTTTTGGTTTTTCGAGACAGGGTTTCTCTGTGGCTTTGGAGGTTGTCCTGGAACTCACTTGGTAGTCCAGGCTGTTCTCGAACTCACAGAGATCCGCCTGCCTCTGCCTCCCGAGTGCTGGGATTAAAGGCGTGTGCCACCAACGCCCGGCCAGATCCCTTCTTTTCAAGAAGAATCGAAGTTAAGTAAGCACAGAGTTTAAAAAAAGAACCAAGATTTGCTGTACAAACATATAACGTTATTCTATTCTTCTAGCCCTGTTTTCTTTCTACCTAGGGTCACCGTACCCCTTGCTCACCTGGTCATGTTGGTATTTACCCTGTAATTTGGAATAGCACTAGTATTGCTATGTGATTTTTCAATTTTGTAGTCTCTTTTACTTGTGGTGTGGGTTGGCTTCCCCGCCTCTCCCCACCAAACACACACACACACACACACACACACACACACACACACACACACACACAGAGTTATTCTCCTCAAAACACTGAATTGTGTTTTTCTTAGGTCATTACTCAGAAACTCACATTGAGATGACAAGAAGAGGGTTTTCCAGAGTTCAGTGTTATAAACCAGGGCTGCGTTTTCTTTCTTGCAAACAGAAATCAATCAGTGTCTTGTACTTTTTATTTCTTAAGAAAATAAATATTCTTGGAGGTGCTGGAGAGATGGCCCAGTGGTTAAGGGCACTTGTTGCTCTTGCAAGGGACCCAGGTTCAGTTGTCAGGACACACAGGGGGGAGCTGACAACACACACACTCACCCACACTGCCAAGTAGCGGGAGAAGAAAGGGTGGCTGCTTCCTAAATCCTCCAAATACCTAATGCTTTCTTGACTCTATCTGTCAGAAGTGTGTTCCAAATACAGTCAGGGTGGAGGGTATTAATCTGGTTTATTGTGACGAAGCCTCCGATTATTGTACACACTATCTCAAAAGATACTGCTTCTAACAGTACATACCAGGGTTCCAGTACTGATAGGGAGTTTAGATCTGCTGTGTACACCAGTCACCAACTGGTTTGGTCTCTAACTTGTGACCACGCAGACCCTGACTCCTTTTTATCCGACAGCCATGTTTGAAAACCAATTATCATAGAATCCCCCAAATCATTTCTTTTTCAGACCAAGTATCTGTGTTCTTACACCCCCACCCCACCCCACAGAGTATAACTGGAAACATCTTGCTGCTGAATTCACTCCAGGTGTTGCCTTTCAGGGCACAGAGTAGTGGAATCGCTGTCTGCTTTGTGATAGATAATAGGCATGTAAAATTGCAGCCCAGGGCCTTATTAGCAACAGGAGTAGGCACACTACACATACAGGCTGATCTTGGGGAAACTCCTGGTCCATCCCCACCTGGGCTGCTCTGTCCTAGGTGTTCTAGTGTGTTTTCATTCACTCAGTGGAGGGCTCTGGTCACTAATGAGAGGTCACTGTGAGCCTGGGATTGCAAGTGGGGAGATGTGTGCACACCAGGGAACCCTCTGCACAGTGGAGGAGCCAGAGATGGCACAGATCAGTGTCAGAACAAAGGCAGAGGCTCTCAAATCTGTGCAAGTGTGGCAGAGCTCTTACCCAGTCACCGACTGACTGACTGCTTGTGTAAGCCGAGAACTGATCAGTTAGGTTAGTGTAGGTGCTGACCATTTTGCACACACATACACACACACACACACACACAATGTATGTTGCATATTTCTTACAATATACATTGGGAAAATGTGGTCAAGGGAACTAAGGCAATTAGGAATACTCCTTCCTTCCTTCCTTTTCCCATTCTTTTTGAGACAGGGCCTCACTATGTGGCCCTGGCTTTCGTAGAACTCGTTCTGTAGACCAGGCTGGCCTTGAACTCATAGAGATCCACCTGCTTCTGCCTCCCTAGTGCTGAGATTAAAGGCATGCACCACTTACACCTTGCCTCTTCTTTCATTTTTAAAGACAGTTAATTTATTGAAGCAAAATTGAAAACCATTTGCATATATTTAATTATATGATTTTCATATGTTTGAAAGAGGTATACACCCATGATACCATCACCACAATTAAGGTTACATGTCTAAGCCGCGTAGGGGTGGGAGGCACAGGCCTCAGTCTCAGTACTCAGTCTCAGTACTCAGGAGACTGTAGCCCAGGCCAGTCTGGGCTATGTAGTGAGTTCTATGCTGGAGTGCATTACACAGAAACTCTGTGGAGGCCCCTGCAAGCAGCAGGACTGGCAGGGAAACAATCCGCATGAGGTAAAAACAACTCAGATCAGCAAGACTTAGCAAGCTCTGCGTCAAAAACTTCTGGAGCTTCATCTAGTAGCTTATTTTTTCTTATCCATTTAAACACAGTAAAACCTTGGGGGAAAGTTTCCAGGTGACACTTATTATAGGAAAGCTTTAGTCACGGCTACACCAAAACTCCCTTGCAAAGCACATCCCTTTAGCAAAGCCCCTGTGACCTTTACCACAGACGGAGAAACAGTGTTCAGATTAAGGGGTCTAGGGAGGAAGGGTTTGCAATAAGCGAAGAGATGGGTCCTGTTGACCGAGAGACAATGCTCGGAATTCTGGGGGATTTGATGAAGACTGGCTTTACAGAACAGCAAATATCACCAGGTATTAACACTTCTTCTATTCACAGCCTTCTGGATGGAAAACAGGCATCCCTCCCGCTGAAGAGAAAAGCTAACAGTTCTGATTTCTCTAGTGCCGTCTGTAAGCTGTGGCTTCTACAAAGTGTTGTCTCAATAAACCACAACCACAACAATGCCACAAAGCCAAAAACCCCATAAACCAAACAAACATAACACGTTGTCTCAGCGGCCTGCAGAACTACACTCAATGACTGTGCTAGCCCAGAGTTCCAAAGTCCTGCCACAACCCTCCCCAAAACAACAGTCAGGCCTGTCACAGCAACACCCATTCTACCACCGGCACCGATTTCTGTCTTAGTTACTTACTTCTGTGAAGAGACACCATGACAAACCAACTCTTAGAAAACTATTTATTTAACATACGAACTCCGGTTTCCCCTCCCTCCTCTTCTCCCCCTTCTGCCAACCCCCCACCCCCATCAAGTCACATAACTGTCACCCACATTCAGAGGGTCTAGTTCAGTCCCACGCGGGCTCCCCAGCTGTCAGTCCATGGCCCGTGAGGTCCCACTGGCTCAGGTCAGCTGTCTTTGTGGTTTTCCCCATCATGCTCTTGGTTAATTAACGTCATCTGATTAAAGGGGCCCGTTCAGACACCCTCTCCACTATTGTTAGGAGTCTTAGCTTGTGGATTCCTGAGAATTTCCCTAGCACCAGTTTCTCCCTAACCCCATAAAAGTTCCCTCTATCAAGACATCTCTTCCATTGTTCTTCTCCTCCTCCGTCGTCTGTCCCTCAACTTGGTCTTCTTGATCCCTCATGTTCCCATCCCCCACCCCCTCCCTTCTACCCCTTGCTCCTAGCTAACCCAGGAGATCTTAACTCTTTTCCCTTCCTGGGGGCCCTCCGTGTGTGTCCCTCTAGCTAAAAGAAGACATTTAATCGGATGCCTGCCTGAAGTTTCAGAGGCTTAGTTTATTATTATCATGGTGGGGAGCATGGCAGCAGGCGGGTAACTATGGGGCTGGGAGCTTTAGATCTGATCCATAGACAGCAGGACACGGGGGGGGGGGGGGGGAGAGGAGAGACAGACAGACAGACAGACACACAGACTGGGCTTGGCATGGGCTTTTGGAACTGCTAAGGTGGAAGCTTCACCCCGGCGCTGGCATCCGTATACACCCAAAGAGTCTGGGACGTTCTGGTGGAGGGTCCACCCAAGCCCCCTCTCCCATCTCTCTCAAAACCCTGCTGCACCTCGGAACATCCGCCAAATGATGACTCCTCCCCCAGAGATGCTCCAGACCACTCCCACAGGGTGTTTAAACTGCACCCCCCCCCAAACCAGACTTGTTTGTTCCGGTCTCCCTTTCCCATCTCCTCCCTGGGGGATTGGAAGGCCATACGGGAGCGCTGTATCCATTAAACGTGGGATTTTTCTAATTCGGTTTGATTTGGTCTGATTTGGATTGCTGCGGGGTGTGGAAACTTTTCAGGAACCTTAAAGCCCTCTGCACAGTGGCACACCTCCTCCAAGGCCACACCTCTTAATCCTCCAAACATCATTTACTGGGGAGCCAAGCTTTCAAACATGTGAGCCTACCGGGTTTGTTCTCATCCCAACCACCACACACATCTATCATTTCCCCACACGTTTGTCTTTTAGTAACCTCTCTCCCGTGCCATAGTCCTGTTTCTTTCTTTCCCCTGAGGCGACCACTAATGACTCTCTTTCACCGTGGATTACGCAATTTGTGTTTTAGCCCTTCTTAAGTGGAATCACGAAGCTGCTTATCTTTCTCCCCCTTTTATTTCTCTTAGCACAGTTATTCTGAGGGGCACCACGCTGGCTGTGGCGGTAGTTGATTCTATGAAATGGTTCCACGGTGCGAACGTAGCCCGCCGACTTGCCCAGTCCCTTGGTGAGTATGTGGATCGTTTCCCCCTTTGGGACCATCTCAAACACAGAGGCTCTGAACTCTCGTGTACGAGTCTCTGCAAGGGCATATGCCTCTTGTTGGCTGAATGTCTAGACAAAGAATGACAAGACTGCACAGTAGGTGGAGTGTTTAACTTTTTATGAAGCTGCCAAACTGCTCCCCAGAATGTTGGCACCACTTCCGTCCCTTCTAAGGAATGATTTGCTTCAACATCGTATTTTACGTTTCAATAAAGCTTCCTTATTCTTAGAGTTCGCTCTTCTTTCAATGAGCCCCTCCATGCAAACTTTATCATGGTGTGCCACCTCGCCGTGGGCCACCCATGAGTGCAGCACTCACGTTTACACACACACACACACACACACACACACACACACACACACAATTTAAAAATATTTTTTAAATGCAGTAGACCATGTTAAGGTAGCAGACCTGTAATAGAGATATTTATTGCTTTGTTCTGTCACCTTTTCTACAAGAAGCTAAACCAAATGTGTAATTTTTGGAGAAAGTTGGATTACTTGAGGAATCACTAGCAAATGCGTTTTGTGATTTCTAAAAAACGTGTGTGTGTGTGTGTGTGTGTGTGTGTGTGTGTATGTGTGTGTTCCTAAATATGAGTGCAGTCATACATATATCACAGTGCATGTGGAGGCTATAGGTCAACCTCTGGTGTCAATCTAGACTTTCACCTTGCTTGGAACAGGGTCTCTTGTGGTTTGCCACTGCGTATGTCAGGCTAGCCCGCCCCCAAAGCATCCAGGGCTCTCCCTGTGGGCACTGGGATTGCAGACAGGTGCTGCTCTATCTGGTTTTTTATGGTTCTAGAGATTTGAACTCAGGTCCTCACCTTGTGTAGCAATCATTTTACCCACTTAACTGTCTCCCTAGCCCCTAAGTGTCATTTTTAAAACAAGATTTTGCAGTGTCTCTTAAATTTAGTGAGTGTTCTCACGAAGTGAAAGCTTACCACGGTTGTTGAAAACAAATTCTGCTTTAAGGGTCTCACAATTCACTTCCAAATCCCAGCATGTAATTTAAAATTCTGAAGTTGCATGTCTGTGTTTTATTTCTGGAACCCCGTGACCAAAATGCTTGACACAGCTTAAAAGTGAAGAGGGCGACTCTGTCTTTGTCTGGTCAGTACATGATAACTGGCCCTGTGTCCTTGGGCAGGACACCATGGCTGTGGAAATGCGTGGTAGAGGAGAACTACATGGCCAACCAGGAAGCAGAGGGAGCTGAGAGAGGGAAGGAGAGAGTGGAAGAGAGGGAGGGAACGGGGAAGGGAGAGAAAGTTAGGTAGGGATATACATCACTGAGGGCCATGCCCTGGGTAGCCTACACTCTCCATCTTGGTTCCCCTGTCCCAAGTTTCCATAATGTCCCCCAAAAGTACTCCTATACGGGTACCAATCATTCAGACCCCAATCTTATAGAGGAGACGGCATACATTCAAACCAAAGAGCTGTGCAAATTGCTGTTCTGTGACTATTGTAACCCAGGCCCATGAGTCCTTAGGACATGCCACTATCCTGTAATCGGTTGTCTTTCCTTGAAATAAAAGGCTCTGGCTTACACATTAGGAGAGTAGGGCGTGGGTGTGTCGGCACACTCCAGGGCAGGGCCCATGCCCAGGAGGAGGAACTGGCTAACACAAAATGAACTTCATGTTTCTGTGCCATCCCTTCCCCCCTTGCTTTATTTCATTTTTTTCTTATTTTTGTTTTGTTTTGATTCTTTTCTTTTTTTCAAGATAGGCAGAGCGAGAACTTGAAGTTTGATGAGTAGGAATGAGGGGAGGATATGGGAGGAACTGGGGGGAGGTGAAGGAACATGACCAAAATAGTATTGTATGGAAAAATTACTTAAATAAAAAAAATTTTAAAGAGAATACAGAGTGCTATGCCATGCTTTAATCCATAACCCAAACTAAATATGTTAGCAAAGAGAAATTCTGTTTTAGGAAAAAATATCAGGGAGATACTATATTACTGTTTTAAAAAGTTATTTTTCTGCTGGGTGGTGATGGAACACGCCTTTAATCCCAGCACTTGGGAGGCAGAGGCAGGCGGAACTCTGTGAGTTCGAGGCCAGCTTGGTCTACAGAGAAAGTTCCAGGACAGGCTCCAAAGCTACAGGGAAACCCTGCGTCGAACAACGACAAAAAAGTTATTGTTTCCATCTTTTATTTTTCCTTTATTACAATTTTTAAACTTTTTTGTTTATTGGCGTTTTGCCTGCATATATTTGTGAGGTACCAGATCTCTTGGAAGTGGAGTTACAGAGTTTTGAGCTTCCATGTGGGTGCTGGGAATTGAACCTGGGTTCTCTGAAAGAGCAGTCAGTGCTCTCAGCCCTTGAGACATCTCTCCAACCCCTTCTTTATTATGTTATGAACAACTATTTTATCTGATTGTTATGAGATATCTGCACTAAAGCTTAATAAATACTAATACCAAGGGTCCATGATATCCTAGGCTTTTATAGTTTATTCATTCTTTTAGCAAAATATATATTGAGGGTTGGAGAGATTCAGAACTTGCCACTCAAGCCTGACAACCCGAGTTTGGATCCATGGAAGCCATGTAAAAGCCAAACGACAAGGCATGTGTCTGTAATCCCAGCAAACAGTAAGAGACACATTGCCTCAACCAAGGTAGAAGTTGAGGACCAACACTCCAGGTTGTTTCCACACAGACATGTGTGTGCCCCACTACAAAGACACATGTGTGTCCACATAGTGCACGCTTGTGGGTACAGGAGAGTTCAGAGACTGCATTAGATCCCCTGGATCTGGAATTACAGGAGATTGTGAGTTGCCTGATATAGGTGCTGAGAACCAATGTTCAGTCTTATTTTGTTTTACAAGAGAAGTAAATGCTCTTAACTGCTGAGCCATCTCTCCAGCCCCCAAGTGTCTATTTTTACATAAAAAATAATGGTTTGCATTTTAGTGTTGGATACAAACAATAAGCTCTTATTGCTTCTTATGGCCTTCATGGAGTGAGGCCCACACGTGTTACATAAACCAAAGAGAAAATGAATGGCTGTTTCATAATAACAGATAATAATTTTTTCTCATCTGTCAATTTATTTTAGGCATAGGATTTCCTTTCTATCCATATGCTCTTGGGGGCTTCTAAAAAGCTGCTTCTTACATCCTGTGTGATAGGTGGCTACATTTGCTGTGGGTGACATATTTATATTATTTTTAAAGGTTGATGGTACATTTTGGGAGGGGGGGCCTTTCAGTGAAAATCATTATATAAATGTCACTTGTCATTATCATAGAAGCATTCAGCTGTGGGAAAAGTCTTTAAATATCCTGCCTAGAACAAGATGATGCGCTTTGTTGTGAATAGGAACATTTAGTTGCTTATCCTATATCCTACTGAGCATGTGTCTCTTGATCACTTTGTATTAAACTGGTCTACAAGTTCTGTTCCTGCTTCCAAGCTGACAGGATAGACCATGCTGGGCTATTGCTCTCTCAGAAAAGCTGCAGCGTAGAGGCAGGGCTTGCGGCTTAGCACGGGCCGCTTGCCTTGCACGGGCAGAGCTCGGGGGAGGCGGGGGTGGGGGGGAGTGGGGGGAAGTGTGTTCTCTTGCCAGTGCTGGAAAACCAAACCAAAGGATAGACAGACAGACAAACCAACCTGCAGTACTTTGCTCTGCAGTTATCCAACGGCAATGGCGCCCTTGAGCAATGAGAACGTCGTAACCCGAGATTATACAGGAATAACATCATGTTTGCAGAGGAAAAGGAAGAGCAGTGTAGGTGGTCCTTCTGTCTGCCTAAAAGGCGTGGAAGACAGAACAGAAGGGAACGGAGGGTAGCGAGTCACTTTCCGAGCTAGTTCATTTTTCTTTGCTAGGGCCGGTGTGCTGCCGCTACGGCTGTACTTGGGTGGAAGAGAGACTCGTTTTAATATGAGTGCTATGTCCGAATCTATAATCCCATCATCCAGGAGGCTTGAGGCAGAGGGATTGAGCATTCCAGACCAGCCCCGGTTGGTTACTGAGTTCTGGACCAGTTTTAGCCTCAAGACAAAACAGCAAAGCAATAACAAAGAAAAACTAACTGGAAACAAATTCCATTTATCTAAATTAATAAAATAATTCTAGAATATTCCATGCTTGGTTTTGGTTATTACTGTGCTGTCTATAGAATGCTGGCATTTCTTGACAAAAACACTTTCTAGAGGCATCAGGAGGGAAGAGATTATTCTAATGTAATTTTCTTTTTTCCTATCCCAATCTTTACCTCCACATTCATCCTTGGGTACTAGGTCACCAGGTGGCTCCGCCACACATGGGAAGTCATTACTGCTCTCTTCCTACCAAGTCCACCTAAACAACCTTTGATAGTCTGCCTGGATACTGCCATGTCATTTACGTTGCTCTGTGGCTATACTGTAGAATAGAGTGGACATTAACTGTGGCGGCTAGTCTCGATTGCCAACTTGACTGGATCAGGAGTCAACTAAGAGACACTCTTCTGGGTGTGTTTGTGAGGGTGTTTCCAAAACGGAATAGCCCAGTGGGGAAGACCTTGTCCTAGAAGATGCAGCTCCTTTCAAAGATGACCCAGATATGAAGAGGTCTGAGGAAGAAGTGTTGCCTGTCTGCTTGTCCATCTTCCTGAGTGAATGCATCTGCCTCTGCTGCCGCCATCCTCACCGTCGGCCTCCAGTGTCTCTGGGCTTCCAGTGTGGACAAATATCAGAGACCCTCCAAGAACTTTTTCAGGCTTCTGGCACCAGGTTGGGACTGCTGAAGCATCCACTTGGCTTCTCAGTTTCTATAGTGCACAGACAGTAATTTTTTAATTATCCAGCCCCTATTATATACCTGTAGCGCATAAACAGCAGTTGTTGGACTACCCAGACCCTATCATGTAAGCCAATCTAATGGTTTCCTCTTTAAAATCAATCAATCAATCAATCTATCTATCTACTACCATCTATCTATCATCTATTATCTATCCATCTATCATCTATCTATCTATCTATATATCATCTATCAATCTACATATCAATCAATTTATCTTCTATCTATCTATCTGTCTGTCTGTCTGTCTGTCCATCTACCTATTATCTATTCATCTATCATCTATCCATCTATCTATCCACCAATCTACAGATAGATATATATATACACATACATTCTATCTGTTCTGTCCTTGTAGAGAACCTTGGCTAACATACTATTTATATTTGGCTTTTTCATTTAAATTAAATAAAACTAAGTTCTCTTTTTTTAAAAAATCTGTTCCAGCTACATTTCAAGCATTCATTCACATATGGCTCCTGGCTCCTATGTGACTTCAAGTACAGAATATGATCATAGTCGTAGACCATTCCTTTTGGCTGCCTCTGCTGTAGGGGAACCTCTATGGAGTATGCTGAGTGGAAAGTTCTCGGAAGAGTTTGAAGGTTGTGCATGCTGGGACGGATGTCTAAAGAGTGCCTTGTCAGCCGCCATTTAAGCCTTTTCTATCCAACCCTTCTTTTGGGCAGCTCTCTTCTTTCTGGAAGGGTTCAGCAATGTGGGTCGTGTGAGCTTATATACAGCATGACTGTGAAATGTCTCCCACAGGCTCATTTGGTGCCCAGCTTGGTGGTGCTGTCCTGGGGTGGGGGTGGGGGGGCGGGTTCTGAGAACTTCGGGAGGTGAGATCTAGTTGGAGGAAGTAGGTAACTGGAGTCAGGTCTTTGACGGTACTTTGTCCCTGGTCCCTTCCTGTGTGGGCCCCTGCTTCTTGTGTGTCACAAGTGGAGAAACTCTTTACCGTGAAGTTCTGGGACCAAGCAGCTACAGTTGAAATCTCTTAGTTCTTGAGCCGAAATAAAACTATATTCCTTGCTTTCTATCAGATATTTTGATTAAAAAAAAAAAAGGTGCCTAAAACAGGTGTAACATCTCCTACCCTCACCCTTCCATGACCATGGGGGCTCTGAAACATCAAACATTTAGTATTTGGTCATCCGAGTCATCTGGGGCAGGGCAGCCCACTTAATTTGAGAAATAATGACTCCCCCTCATTTGGAGGAATTTGTGGTCTTGGGACTCAGAAAGTTGGCTAAACGTGGTAAATCTTTCAGTCTCTCCTTTTTCAGTCACAGAGAAGTAGTCATTGCGTGGTGATCGATCAACAAGAAGCCGACATGCAGGCAGAAATCAAGATTCCAGGTGTGAAGTCCTAATAACAGCATCTGGGCTCCCGAATTTAGCTGGCACAAGGCTCGTCCATATTTCTGCATTTACATGTTTAAAGTCGACTTTCCATTTTCTTTAAGCTTGTTGAAGTAGAGCTATTCTCATTCGCAACCCAAACAACAGGAAATAATCCAGAATTAATTCGGGACAAAGCATCCTGTTAAAGTGTATGGTCTCAGAGGGGCAAATAAATTTCAAGCCTGCAACATAAATATAATCAAAATAGCCCAGACGTATTGATAAAGCTCTAATAATTATTTTCATTTTTAAGATCTGATTTTAAAATTAATATAAAGTGGTAGTATCATTTTGTAAGGATGAATTTGCTGCTTTTTTTACTTTATGAAGCCTTGGAAAAAAGACAATGTTATTGGTTCCCAGCCCACATCAGGCAGCTCACAACTGTCTGTAACTCCAGGTCCCCGGGATCATGGCCTTAGAGGCCACCTGCATTCACACACACACCTAGCCATGATTAAACATAAAATAAAAATAGATATTTAAAAAGTTTCTTTCATGCAAAGACAGCCTCAAAAGCACTGAATATAGCATAGTGACATGAATTACATCCCCCCAAATATGTGTCTGTATAGTATCACATGTAGTCTTTACTTTTATATATGTAATTTACAATTTTCTTACTTCAATTAAATAATTTATATAAACAAAGATCCCTGGTTAAATTTGGGTTGTTTCTTAAAAGTTTGTTGGGAACCTTTGTATTTGGAGTAATTTTTCTACCAAGATTATATTGCTCTGAGCAGTGCTTATTTAGTTTAGCGCATGGGACTTCTTTTGCTATAGATTGAATCATTTTTCACTTCCATTTGATTTGGTCTTCCTGCAAGTTTCAACTTGAATGTTTAATTTTTTCCATCAATATTTCAATCACATCACTGAGTGATGAAACCTTATAGTGTTACTGGAAATTTAAACTATTGTCTTAAATATTTTGATTAAAAATTACAATACCAAAAACATCTCCATTTCAGAGTCCTAAGAAAAGAAATTGCTTTGGCTTCCTTCCTTTATTTATTTATTTTTTGATCTTAGTTTCTAATAATTTCCACAACACATGATGAAAACTGCTTGAGTGATGTTTTAAACTATTTTACAAATAATTCACTATAAAAGGTAAAGAATTGAAAAACAAAGAAGCAACCCAGGCAGTGGTGGTGCATGTCTTTACTTCCAGCACTGGGAGGCAGAGGCAGGTGGATCTCTGAGTTAGAGGCCAGACTTGTCTATAGAGAGAGTTCCAGGACAGCTAAGGCTACACAGAGAAACCCAGTCTAAAAAACAAACAAAACAATAAACAATAAAAACAAAAATAAGGACGTTCTTGAGAAGTCCAAGCATATTAAAACATATGGTCTAAATATTTTCGAGGTGCATAGTCAAGATTAAAAATAACTATTGTCTTTAGGCATGATCTATACTATAATGTAAAAACTTTAATTAAAAAGTGATGCTTCTTGAGATTGGAATTGTTGATCTTCTCACATACTTTAAAAAGAATAAAGTATAGAAAGAAGCCACTTTAAGTCACTAATCCTAAGTGGCAGTGTCTTAGTCCTTTTTCTGTGCTGCAGGCAAACACCTGAGTCTGAGTAATAGATAAAGAAAGTGGTTTAATTTGACCCCTGGGTTCTGAGGGTTGGGGAGTTTATGCCTCAGTGCCACATCTGGTGAGGACCTCATGTTGTGTCACATGGTGGGACACCGTGTGAGCACAGTCAGCCGGCGTGTTGGAAAAGGGGAAAGGGGGTGAAAGAATCCATTAAGTCTGTAATAGCACGCTCTTAGGTTAACCGATGATCGTTAACCCATGTTGGCGGAGGGAATTGTGACTTTTAACTGAGGGGACATTTCAGTAATAAGTGACTTTGGCTCAAATTTAACACGCGCGCACACGCACACACACGCTTTCTGAGAAAACTATGGTGAGATAACATGGGTTATGCAGATTCATATGACCATGGTCATGCATGCCGACACCTGTGCAATTGGTGATGGAGTGACTGCTAAGATTATTGGCTTTCAACATGAAATTCTTTAAAAGTCATAACAATTGGAGCCAACTAGAAGCTACAAACCAAGAGCTGTGGTTTCAAGTTTAATGTAGTGGGAAAATATGTCATTAATTAAAGCTATCTTATTTGGACCCTAAGAAACTTTATGGAGAGAGAGAGACAGAGACAGAGACAGAGAGACAGAGAGAGACAGAGAGACAGAGAGAGAGAGACAGAGAGAGAGAACACTCCTAGATAACTTATACATATTTTAGAAGAGTTGTTTAGCTCGATACTTCAATAACAATTCTTGTTTATAAACAGATGTTTTTGGTGTGCATGTGTGTTTCTGTGCATGTGTGCTCCTGTATGTGTAGGTGCATACGTGTGTGTAAGACAGACACACTGAGCATTTTCTTCAATCACTCTCTACCTTACTTATCTCTTTTATGTACCTGCATGCTTTCTTTGAGTGTGTGTGTGTGTGTGTGTGTGTGTGCCTACCCGCGCGTGCGTGCGTGCGTGTGTATGCCTGGTGCCCATGGAGGCAGAAAGAGGGCATCAGATCCACTGGAACTGGAGTTACAGACAGTTGTAAGCTGTCATCTATCTTCATTTTTGAGATAGGATCTCTCATGGAACTTGGAGCTCATCAACTAGTCTACACTGGCTTGCCAATGAACTTTAAGAATCTGCTAGGATAACAGGCATGCAAGACACACACACACACACACACACACACACACAGAATTGAGCTCAGCTTCTCGGGCTTGTGCAACCAACGCTTAACCAACTGGTCCCTCTCTCCAACCCTTGCAGCCAGCTCTCAGCACAATGCGTGGATCCATAGGGATTCACTTAGCTAGTCACAGCAGTAAAGAATGGGGCCAGGGGAATGTCTCAGAGGGTAAAAGTGTTTGCCACCAATCCTGCCTGGTCCCTGGAGCCCGTATGGTGTCGAGAACACACTTCTGCAAGCTGTCCTCTGACCTCCACCCGCTTGTCCTGCCCCAGCAAATAAGCAACGTAAAAAATGTTAAAGGATGAATGTCTATTGAGCATAAACAGACTGAGGGAGAGGTTATATAAAAGGCACGAAAGACAGTTTCTGCTCTAGATTGCAGTCCAACACCACTTACATAATAGGTGGAAAACATGTTCTTTGTGTCAGTCCTGAATATAGCCACCTGCCCTAGGAGTGAGCATTTTCTCCACCAGGGAGAATCGCTGAACCCCTGTGCCTTATTGTACGTGGCTTTGTTGTCCGGGCCCTGAAAGTACCCAATGAAGTGGGGGGGGGGGGATTCGTGCAAAGTGGCGGGGGCTGAAGTGAAAATTAGGGAGCTAGCTGTTGGTTGTTCAGGGCTGGCCTTTGCCTGCTTTCGTGGTCACGGGCTTGCAAACTGGAAAAAAAAATGTGTGGACAAGCTCATCAGGCCCTTTGTCACGGTGTCTGCCCTACACCTACATTCGCGTGGCTTCCAGTGTGTGCGTGCAGTGAATGCATGCACAGATGCCAACTCGTGTGCTTCCAAGGGGGGGGCCACCACCAACACCATGAGTTGAGTCTCATCAGGAATGAGGCTGCAGAGAGGGTGGGTGGGAGGGAGGGAGGGAGAGAGCAGAGACCGTCCTGAGGATCCTCCTTCCGGTTTGCTGTGCCAAGAAGCCGTCTCTACTCCAAAGTGGAGATCGGAGGTGAGAGCTGAGGCAAAACAAAACAAAACAAAACAAACCGGGTAGGCTTTGGCTGGGCGGGAATGGCGCGCCCGTCCCACGCCCATGCCGGGATCTGTCCGCGGTGCTGACCCGTCCTGTGGCGCTCGCCGAGCGGAGATGCAAGGAGGTTGGCCGCCGAGGGAGCCGCTGCCCGAGACCCTTGCAAGGAGGGTTGGGGGCGGGACAGAGCCGGGCTGGAGGCGTGGCCTGCGCGAGGTGGGCGGGGCTTGACCAGGGTGGGCGGGGTCGTGGGCTCTCCGGGGGGGCGGGGCCTGAGGTGGTGGTAGGTAGGTGGGAGCGGGTTAAGCCCACGGTCGAGGGCCCAAGTTAACGGTTGCGGGCAGGGGCGGGGCCTGGAGGGCCCGCGTGGGGGGTGGGGGCGGCGGCGGCGGGGCGGCGTCACGTGCCCGACGGTGCGCGTCCGCGGAAGGTTCCGCTTCCTGCTCGCCGCCTGCTCCGGAGCTCCGACCCCACCCCGCCGCCCCGCCCCGGCTCCCCCGAGGCCCCCCCGCAGCCTGGCCCCGGGGCGGCCCCGCCCCTCTCGCCGGAGGCCTAGGCGCGTCCTCCCGCACCCTCCTCCACCCCTGCGCTTCCCTGCGCTGTTGGTGCGGTCCATGGCGAGCGCATCATGGCGATCGAGGGTAAGTGGAGGCCGAGCGATGCGCGCACAAGACGCGCCCGCGGGCGAGCGCTGGGCCTGGGAGGCCGAGGCGCGGGTGGTGGGTCCCGACCGTGAGGGAGGCGGCGGTGGTGGCGGGACACCGGCCTAGGCGCGGTCCTCGAGGGCACTGGCCTGAGCGCCGAGGTGCAGAGAGGCTGAGGCGCTGAGGGGACTCAGGTACTAAGGCGCTGGGACCACCGGCGGCTGCAGTTGAGGTCTCGGCGGCGGCGTGGGACAGGTGAACTCGCTCAAGGTGCTGCTCCCCGCCGCCTGCCGAGCCCGCGCTCTGTGCTGGTGATGTCTTTACTGTCCCCTCCTGCTGGCTGGTGGAAGGGACCGAGACGTGTGCTTGAGGTTAACCCTCTCACCTGACCCTCAAAATTGCTTGTCCCTGGGGGAGAAGTAAATGCACCCTGAGGACTCCAGCAGAAATGTTTCACAAGTAGCTTAATTAGAATTAAGTCCCTGGATAAGATAGGTGGTGCTGGTGTGTTTCCCCTGTATCCTGAGAACGTGGGTCTGGAATGACGTGTGATCTGCCTTGCTCTTAAAAGAGGGTATTGTGCGGTTTAGTATCACACAGGTAGGAGAGTGCCGACAGAATTTTGTTCCCCATTTCAGATGAGCTCAGTGCAGAAAGATTTCCAAAACTTCCCTGTGGGACGGTGTACGTTCATGTGCAGGGTACCAATAGCTGAATCATTACTTGTCTACAGTTTATGTGTTCCTCCTGAGTAAAACTCAGCACAGTAATTCCCCTAGGTGACTGGTCTCTGGTTAGTATACACACCTGCGACACAGCCATCTGATGACGGAATTGATTAAGCTGTGTGTTGGACGTTTCCTTCATTTTGGAGACTGAGTACTGGATACATTGGCATAATTTTAAGTACCCGCGTCTGCTAAGATGATGGAGAGTAGAGTCTAATCTGTAATCTTTGATGTTTCTGTTAGTCAGGACAGCATGTTTAACCCTTTTTCTTCTCAGTATATTTTACTGGAGCTGGAAAGTCAGGGAGCAGAACCCACGGATTGATGTAGCATGCTTTATTTTGCCAACAACTTTGTGGAAGAATTTCTTGTAAAGTCATACAAGTACAATTTTATGCAGAAAATGAAGGATTGGCCCAGATAGGATTCACATATGATATCATAACTTGTAACTACTTATTGTCCAGTTTTTGTTAATGCGTGGGTATCTTCCTCTGGCGGTTAAATGTTCCAACATTTTACTCCATCTTTTGTTTGTATCTTTAAATGATAAGATTTCCCTGTGTGTCTTTTGGTGCTGGGCTATACATGCAGCCTATTCTTATACCTGTGCATTTATTTAAGGTTTTCATGATATAAATATCAACACTTAGGCCTTCTCTAATTTGGCAAGGAAACTGTAGTTAATACGTTTCAAGTCAAGTTATCAGGTTGAGGCAGTCTAACTGTGTCTCTAACTGTGTCTCACTGAAGTGGGTTGTTTATATGTGCATCCTAATTTCTTCACCTCTGAGGAGAATCTTATTTGCTCAGTGTGATAATACCATAAGTCAGTGCTTCTTTAAAGACCTGGTTGGCAGTCATACCAATCAGGATGATATAGTCACTTCATGGAAATAATTTCAGATACAGGTTTTATGTAGAGGAGGAAATCAGTGACTTATTATTAGACTCAAAGGTGGTGAAACCACTGAGCACAGCTACTAAGAGTATGCCTAACTGCTGCAAACATCTGTTCTTCAGTTCACAGCAAGGCTTATGCAAAGGGCTGTAGACAAAGCTAGAGATAGACTTTGTATCAAGGTCGAATTGGAAGTTTAGGAGTCCTGAGGGTATTTCATTCAACATGCTTCCTTTTGAAGTGGCTCTTCAAACATTCAGTTCATTTACTTGTTAATTCAATGAACATTTATTGAATACCAGGCATACACAATGTTCTAAAATAGACTTTGTGGGATCTTCCCTGTTGGAATCTATGTTCTGGTGGGATAGGTAATTTTAAGCATATGGTTAAGCATATAGTGTGTATACCAAGAGATAAACCATGCATGCTCCCTTTTGTATAAAAACACGCAGTGGTGATGACTTCAGAACTAATTTTGAGGTAAAAAATGTTATGCCCTTAAGGTCTTTATATTTTGCCTGAAGTTTTGTACTGCTAATTCTGCTATTCAGCAACTTTGGTCTAACCTAGTCCTAGTTTTGCTTTCTTAAACAATACTTAAAATACATCCTTTTGTGTGTGTATGTGTGTGTGTAACACATCCTCTTCATTTGCAGACAACTGTACACTCCTTTGTTTTAAAATTTGAAATATAGTGATGGAAAATTCCATTCCACTTGTGTACTGAAGCTATTACAACCTTACTTTACTTGTACTTAATTTTATGAATGTAGCTTAATATTAGAATAACCTTTAGTGTAACTTCTTGTTGCCTCAAATAAGATTCTTTTCAAACAAAACTACAGACTGCTTTACTTGGATTACTCACTCTAGCTCTGTCTTCAGTCCTTTGCAAACTAAGTTATGAATTGAGAATAGGTGTACTGAAAATAGTAAAACTCAAAAATGCCTGTTCAGCAACCCCATTTGTATACATTTTATAAGCAACTGAAACAGCTTTACTATCAGAACTCAGGAGAGTAGTTCTTTGTGTAGATTTGGGCAGTGTTTGTGAAGATGAGTGACTTCGGAATTGGTGGCTACCTGCTGTGTCTGACCTCGGTTTGCTGTAACTCAGGTGCATGCTTTGTGATAACTGATTGCATGGGACTTTATACATGTGTGTACTTTCCTGTATTTGTGTTTTCCTGACCTCCAACGTGAAAAATGAGATTAGGGAAAGACAGGTACTGAAAAAGAGAAAGAAACCATCCAGGAGTCTTTGTTTCCTAGGCCTAAACTCTGATATACTCTTTGAGCTTCATGTTTTTGGTATTCACCGTGGCCAGCTCATCATAATACTGAATTTCAGTCACAGACACCCACTTCTCCCTTTTATGATAGTCACAGACAAACATGTTGTGCTATGGTACTCTTTTTCCTATTAGTTGTGGACTTGGTTTTAGAAGTTTTCAAAATAGTCATTGATCTGATCTGCCTCCAACAGCGATTCCTGTTTAGCAGATTTAGCATGCAGCATAAAAGCTTTATTTTTGTTTTGGGATTATTATTATTACCACTTTACACTTTCTCACCTTACCTCAAATACCCAAACACAGGTTTGTAAAGACAGTACTAGATGATGCTGACTTTAGGATTGAAGCCTGGCTCAACCCAGAAAGCACGATCATTTACAACACCGTGCTTTTAAAATTAGAGACCCAAACTAGTATGAGTGAATGGCTTAAATTGGGGACTCATCTAAAAATACATCTATAAGTTAGAGGTCTAAATAGGTTAAGGTGATTTGGGGCAGTTGGCAGCATAAACAGCAAATGTTTAAAGTTTTTTCCTTATGAACAATAAGAAAGAATTTACAGAGGAACTTAAAAGTTGTGACTACTTTCATGGATGAACTTGGGGGAAAGAGATGAAATATAAGACACTAGTTTTTCAGTGTCTGACCATGAAAAAAATAGTGCAAATTGTATGTGGAGATGATTTAGGCTAGTGGTCAGAACCGAATAAATGAATCTTAAAGAGAACTCTTACAGGAACTAAATTACAGGTTTAAGTCTATCTTTGACACCTGCATGCACTTTGATGGTGCATTTTCCCTTCCGTAAACATGTAAGAAAGTAGATAATCTGTAATGATTCTTATCTTCCTCTCAAAAATATCCTAGGTACTTACTAGGCACATTCACATATACAAACACATGAAGGTACATAATCAGCACATATATGCCCCCCAACACCTGTTTTCTTATCTTCCTTACTTGTGCCACTGTGGAGGACTGTACAGTATTCTCTTGCTCCTACATGGATTTGCCTGAGGAGAATTATACTGATGACTGAAGTGTCACCCAGTGTGTCTTAATTACATGTTGCTGATTATTTCAAGGAAATTCACTTTATTTAAATTACCTTAAAGCATTCAAAAGCAATTTCAGATTTTCCTACTTTTTGTACAAATGAAGAAAGTCCATTTTAACTTCTTAAATAACTTCATTGATACTACAATATTTGAAAATTTTAAAACATTAATTAGCAATCTTGGGAAACTTTAACTCTTAGGTAAGTTTTACTTTGTACCATAAAAATAATGAGCTAGCTAGGTTTCTTTCTAAATTCTAATCTCTTATGTTAATTGTATGATTTTTTTTCTTCAAATAAGTACTTCGACAGATTTGACAGTTGTCAGTTAACTAAGTTTAAGATGTAATAATTATTTGATTAGCTTTTAAAAACTAAAGTTCTTTTATTTAATATAGGTAAAATAAATACTTACCAAAGATAGGGGCAGTGAAAGATGGCTATTGGGTAAGGGTGCTTGTTGCCATGCCTAACAACCTGAATTCAATTTCCAGAGCTCCTGCATGTTTTCCTCTGGCTTTCACACACGCACTGTGCCGAAAATGCATGTTCGGGGATACATATACACACACACAATAAATAAATGTAAAAACCCATATATATGTGCATATATATATGCATACATGTGATAGTTTTTCATGTTATTCCACAGTGTCTTGTTTTGTTGTTATTGTTAATACTGAGTTTTGTAAAAAGTGTTGTTATATATTTGGGATTAGGTGCATGAAATAAAACAACCAATTTATATTAAATATGTGGAGAGTTTAAATAATTTATTTTTATTTATTTCAAAATAATGTATAGTGTGTGTGTGTGTGTGTGTGTGTGTGTGTGTGTGTGTGTGTGTGTGTGTTTGAATGTAGATGTCTGCAAAGGCCAGAAGAGGGCATCCGATCCCTGGAACTGTTAAAGGTAGTTATGAGATACCAGACATGGGTCCCAGGAACTAAATTTTGGTCCTCTGCGTGTGTTTTGCCCACTGAGCCATGGCTTCAGCCCAAGAGATTCTTGCTTTAATGATTGATGTTAAAAAGGTGCAATCTGAGCTGAGTGGTGGTGGCACGCACCTTTAGTCACAGTACATGGAAGGCAGAGGCAGGCATCTCTGTGAGGCAGCCTGGTCTACAGAGCTACACAGAGAAACCCTGTCTCGAAACCCCAAAACCAATCAGGTTCCATGAGTAAAGTATGTAACTCAAATTTAAGTTACAAATGTTGACCTGTAGAGGATGTGACTTAATTATTGTATAGAAGAGTATGAAAACATCGTAGGTCTCAATGCAAATTATGGTTATTGTTATCACATGATTTTCTAGTATCTTGAAAATAGTCCATTAAAATTGAGTGAATACCTACTCATTTGACTAATGTCTTCTCAGTTGTAAATGATGCATTCACAGGTATATTTTATTCTAGCTCTTCAGCAAGTGATCTGTTATAGTTCATTGGTTATATTACAATTAATACCATATTTGACAAAGAAATTTTGCTGAATAATAATTCTTTTTTAGTTTTAGCTTTGTGTCTAGTATTTTTTCCTTGCTAAGCCTGTATTCCTGATCCTTAGTATTATTGTTATTGATCAAGGAAGCAGAGGCTACTTTACAAACAAATAACCTACTTTGATGCTAGAAATATTGTTTCCTAGTTTTTTTTCTTTTCTTTTGCTTACTTCTCAGATGGTCCACTTTTTAAAAAAAACCTGAATATAACTGTTTTTATTTCTCATATAGTTGCTGTAGGAGTCATGTTTCTTGTAACTGAACTGTTTATAATAAGCTTCTATAATGAACTAAAATGATGACATAATTTAATGTTATTATGTAAAAATTAATTCATAGTATAGTAGATAAGGTTAAACATACAGAGAATACTACAAAATTTTATTGAGCTTACATTAGTAGTAGCATTATGTTTTTGAGGGAAAGAAATACATATTTATGTAGTGATTAATAAAATTACTCTTAAAAAAGAGTAATCAATATATTTATGAGATATATGTAATGTTTTTATATGTACACATATTGTAGAAGACTAAATCAAGACATGTCTTCTACTTTTCCTACTTATTTCTTTGTGGCGAGAACATTTAAAATCTTCTGTTTTCAAGACTATATTACATTATCATAAAATCATCATACTGTGCAGTAGATCACTGAAAAACATTCCCCCAATTGGGTTTAGCTTGTCTTTTGTGTCTGGCTTTTTTCACTCAGACTGGTCTTTTTACTGCTTATCCCTACTGTTGGAAATGTCAAAGTAGTCTTTATAAAGGCCCTATAGCATCCCATTGTGTATGCAAACCGCAGAGTTCCGTCCCTTGGCATTATCTTGCCAGATATACCCAGCAATTTTTCTGGATATATAACCAGGAGAAAGGCATGCATATGTGCATTAAAGAGACACACTGTAAATGGCCTTAATACAAACCCAAACTCAACCCAGTCCAAATGTTTAGGAAGTGAAGTTTATGTAGGTATAAATATATACAGGCTTGTGTACATATTTATGTATATTTAAATGCAGTGGAATTTTGTATAGCGATGAAAATGAATGAATCACAAGTAATACATTGGGCTGATTTCACAAATGTACTGTACTATCAGAACTCAGGAGAGTAGTTCTTTGTGTAGATTTGGGCAGTGTTTGTAAAGATGAGTTGACTTCGGAGTTGGTGACTACCTGCCAAGTCTGGCCTCGGTTTGCTGTAACTCAGGTGTATGCTTTGTGATAACTGATTGCATGGGACTTTATACATGTGTGTACTTTCCTGTATTTGTGTTTTCCTGACCTCCAACTTGAAAAATGAGGTTAGGAAGAAAAAGGCCTTCCAAAGAAGCAACAGGTTTTTTGGGGGTGTGGAGCTGTACTGTTGCTACTTTTTACCATGTTATATATTAACTTGTCTTCTACAAATTAGTAAGAGTGGGTAGCTGAGGGTGGGGCAAGGGCCAGCTTCCCTTTATAGCTTGTGTGGTGATATGACTGGTGCTTCCACAGGGCTAGCATGTACAGTGACTGGCCCTCGCTACGCTTCCTCCCAGCTGATGGGAAGGGGCACAGGAAATGGTGAGATAGTCTCTCCAGAAGCTTTCTAACCAGATAGCCTACGAAATAAAGGAAGAGTCACCATTCCTAAAGTTATGAAACCTTAATTGCTGGATTATTCAGAAAAATTCAGGCCGTTTTATTTAGCTTCATTAACCTTCAAGAAAATAATTAGGGAACTTTTTCCTAAGATCATTTCTAGGTGCATGTTTAGCATGGTTCTTTGAAACAGTAAAATTTAGGCCATTTTCTGCGTTTTTAGTTGCTAATAAACTTCTTTTTTTTTTTTTTTAGGTGGAGAGAGAACCTGTGGAGTACATGAACTCATCTGTATTAGAAAAGGTAGGCTAATGTTCTGCATAGATATTTAAATACTAAATGAATACTTCCTAGGATATAGTATATTTTACTATGATAAATTGGATATCTAAGGCATATAATTTAGTAGATATTAGCACTCATTATCTGTGGAGTCCATGCTGCTTATTATGTGACTACTGAGGGTTGCATATTTCATTTTGATGGACTAATGAAGTCTGGTTTCTATAAAAAGAATTGTTCTTTGGGGTGTGAATAGGCAGAGAACAGAGGGCTTGATTTCTGTTCCTTTCCAGAATCTGAGTGCTGGGTGCATATTGACCCCTAATTGGTTTTTGTTCTGTTTGCTGTACCTCATCAGAGTGATGTGAGCAGTTGCTTGAAATTCAGGTTGGGAGCATGTACAAAGACCACACAACCACAGGACACCCACAACTGCCTGTGCTTCCTTACAAGGAGCCAGCTGGCAGCTAGGTAGCTGAACAAGGTAGCCCAGGGAAGGTGATTCAGATATTAAGTGGAAGACAAGGAACCTGGTGCTCTCTGAGTGTTAAGAAACCTGGGGAGATTGCAATTCATTAGGAGGGATCATAGCTCTGAAGTGCTGTGAAGGAGACCAGAGAGAGAGTGTGTGTGAGGGGAGAGCCTTTGTTCCCTGACCACTCCTGCTTGGGTCT